ACCTATTGCTATTTGCTTTATTGAAACCTCTTTAGTAATATTTAAAAAGTTTCAAATTTAAAAAATATATATATATACATATATATATCTCGTTCTCCTGTACCGTATAACTGCTATTTGGTATTTCTATTAAGATCTTGTTTACATTATAAGCTGCCGGTTCTTTTTGTCAATATTTTTTTTAGAAAAATTGTAATAAATTTTTTTAAGAAAAACATACAAAATTACAAAATTTGATTAAAAAATCTGTAAAGTTCAACGTATTTCCTGCTATAACGGCTCTTAAATATTATATTAGTATAGAGAATATATTTCATTATAGACTACTAAGGACCAATTACCAATTACTACTACACGATCACAGAAATCTGTTGTAAAGAAAATCTTGCAAAACGAAAAAAAAATAAATGAATAAAAGGACAAGAACTCGAATATGTAACTTATTTAAAAGAAAATATACCAAAGTTACAAATTATGCGATAACAAAAAAAAAAAAAAATCAAGAGAAAAAAGAAAAACTAAATCAAAACTTCCCTTAAAAACTTTCTATAAATTTTACTGACAGCCTTAAATATTAGAGGTGCATAAATATATAAAATATTTTATGAACTATGTATATAAAAATAAGTTTTTTTTTTTCCATTAGACTTTTATTAACTGAAGCAATAATTACACTTACATATATAGGACAAAAATCTTTTAAAAAAAAAAAAAACTACCGTTTGTGATCCAAATAAAATGAAGATTTCTTCTCTTCCACGGAAAAAACTATTTTTGAAATTTTAATTACGATTTAAAAAAATTAAATTAACTAATTAGCGAAATGTTAAAAACAAATATATATTAGAGTATTTAAAGAGAAAACATAAGAAGAAGAAATTACATAAGTTATTATTTAAAACAAAAAAAAATTGTATTCGAACAAATTATGAAAATAAAGAAATATATAAATTAAAATAAAAAAAATACCAAATATTATTATTCTTTAATTCATTTAAATTAAAGAAATTTAAAGTAACTGGGATTATACAAAATACAGGTGTTCCTAAAAATATGCTATTAAATAAAAGGCTGTTACACAGAATATGCATCGATTCCTTTTCCTTTTCCTACACGATACTTGACTTGCAAGGACTCCCTGTTGCAAGATTATTAGGAAAGACAAACGATGTGTGCAAGCAATGAAGGAGGTGTGAGGAATAATAACAACAACTTATCTATATACTTATATATTACATTGTACGGTATATTGTTGTGCCTTAGCTGCGTATATGTTTTGTAGAAGAACGTAGTGGAAAATGGAATTATATGAAAACCAAGGGTTGGCCATCTACCCCTGTTCCTATATTTGCAAAAATCAGATATCCAAGAAGACCCTACAATTTGTGGCCTTAAATGCTAATGCATTCTTGAATATAAAATTTAAAAATGCGGGGCTTTTTTAACAAACGCAACAGTCCCTACGTGAGTATCACAAACCAATACAATCTTCACCTAACGACAGTAGGCTGGTAGCAGTACATTAGAAGATTTCTTTTATCATCATTTAAAAGCGTTTCCAAATAAAATTGTGTTGAAATAGCTTTCAATCAGATCAATCGATATAAAACTGAGAGCGACTATAAGGAGGGTCGCTTTCGTTTAACAAGTAGAAACATTATAGCA